CGCCCCCCCTCCGCCCCGTATTTTTTATCCTAGACCCCAGCTTTCCCCAACAGCTGCCTTACCAACTCCATCTGGACTTTTCTATTTTTTTCATCCTGCCTGAAAGATCTCCTTTAACATTTCTCGTAGTGTGTGTCTCCTGGTAATGAATTATTTTTGTTTTTGCTAGGTTTTTGCAAGATCTTTTCACCGGATCCAGGGTCACTGTGGATGCAATCAGCTGGGTTGGGATGAGGCCCTAGGGCATAGCGTGGGCTCCTGATCCGAAAGGATTGGTGTTCTTATAAGACCCCCGTGTGAGGGGAGACACGCCCAGGGAGAGCACCGCGTGATGACAGGGACAGAGCTGGAGTTTCTGACGTGGCTACAAACCAGAGGAGCGCCAAACCTTGCCAGCAAGTCAACAGATGCCGGAACAGGCAAGAGAGGACTCCCCTCTAGGTTCCAGAGAGGGCATGGCCCTGCAGTCATCTTGATCTTAGACTTCCAGACCCCAGAACTGTGAGACAGTAAATTTCTGGTGTTCTCAGCCACAACGGTGTGCAGGACTTGGTGACAGCGGCCCAAAGGAAACTCATATAGGTGACTGAGTCCCATTTCTTCATCATAGAGGGAAGCAGAACCCTCCCCACGGCCCCCCACCCCACAAACTCCTTTACCATTTGCTGTCTGAATGACTTCTCCACCTCCTACCTTCCTCAGTGGATGAAAAGTTATCGGAAGGCAAGTATCACATCTTATTTATTTCTGTGTTTTCCATAGCACCTCTTTAATGATGAAGTTAACATGCATGTAATTTGGATATGAAATTTGGGACCTCAAATATGGGTAAGCAAAATAATTTCATTTTCTATAGTTAATATTTTATTTTATTTTTATTAAAAATTTTTAATGTGTATTTATTTTGGGGAGAGAGACAGTGTGAGTGGGGAGGGGCAGAGAGAGGGAGACACAGAATCACAAGCAGGCTCCAGGCACTGACTGCCAGCACAGAGCCCGACATGGGGCTTGAACCCATGAACCATGAGATCATGACCTGAGCCCAAGTGGGATGCATAACCGACTGAGCAACCCAGTAATTTTACTTTTAAGTCCCCATTCCATCAGGGTATACCTGGTTTATTTGGGGGTTTGTCAGGAAGGCCATACTTTTCTCCTCATTTTTCTTCCTGGTGGCATCTAAGTCATGGGGAGTTTACAAAGTACCAAGGTCTTGGGGCACCTGGGTGGCTCAGTTGATTAAGCATCCGACTTTGGCTCAGGTCATGATCTCACTGGTCCCTGAGTTTGAGCCAGGCTCTGTCAGCACAGAGCCTGGAGCCTGCTTTAGATTCTATCTGTCTGTCTCTCTCTCTCTCTCTGCCCCTCCCCTGCTCATGCTATGTCTCTCTCTGTCTCTCAAAAATGAATAAACATTTAAAAAAATGAATGAGATGTGTTCTTTAAAAAAGAAAAAGTGTCAAGGCATTGTCAGGCAGGGTACTCAGTCTTTGGTCATTGTTTATCTTTTCTGCAGAATTCTCATTCTTACTGGGTTCTCGACATCTGTCCCCACGGATATCTGCTGCCTCTTTGGTGTGTCTGTCTGTCCTTCAATCCCTGCTGATCCATGCGGGATGCTCTGTGTCTTTCATATTTCAACCAGGTGGTCTCTTCAGGCTTGGTGGCTTCTCCCAGTTTATCTGTTTGCACAGATGAGAACATGGCTCTACCTAATCTACCCTGAGTGCCTTGGGGGTCCGTAGAGACTGTTTTGCATCTCTCTGTCTGGAAGCATTGTGAAGCCATGTATTTGTTTTCCTTTGCTGCTGTAATAAATCTCCACAAACTTAGTGGCTGAAATCAGCGCACATTTATTATCTTACAGTTCCATAATTCAGAAGTTTGACACAGGTTTTGCTGAGCTAACAGCAAAGTGTCAGCTGGGCTGAGTTCCTCTCTGAAGGTTCCGGAAGAGAATCCATTTCCTAGCCTTTTGCCGCTTCTAGAGGCCAGCTGCGTTCCTTGGCTCATGGCCGCCCTATGCCTTCAAGGCCAGAAACATAGCCTCTCTCTGACTCTGTTTCCATCTCCAAACCTCTTTCTCTTCTATTTCCCCCTCCCATGTTTAGATGCTTGTGCTTGCATTGGACACACCTGGGTAATTCTAGGTAACATCCCTATTTTAAACAAAGCTGATTAGAAACCTTAATTCCACCGTCAACCCTAACTCCCCTTGGCTATGTAATCCAACATTTCCACAGGTTCTGGGAATTAGGACATTGACAATGGCAGGGGCATTACTCTGCTCACCACAAGCCGTTTCTACTTACCTGTCCGTGTGACACATGGGGACCAGAGACCTTGTTCTCCTCACCCTGGAAATTAGAATCACTCTCCTCTGCAAGAAACTTTGAGCTTCCGATTCTGCACCTGTCTCTCATCTCTTTTCCTGCTCAGGATGTAGAGGCCAGGACACACACACACACAGAGAGAGAGAGAGAGAGAGAGAGAGAGACATCAGGGAAGTTCAGGAACACCTCCGTTGTTGACTCTCTTCCCTTTCATTAGCCCAAGTAGTTTTTAACTCTTTTATAGAAGAACAAATAGATCCTTCAAGAATCCTCCAAATCCATCATTTAGGGATAGGTTTCAGCTTTAAAATTAAAAAGAGAAGAGTTATATATATTGTCATTCTCTTCACGTATAAAGCTATATCCTGTCAGTAGTGATTCATTAAGAATCCAGCATGGAGAAAGAAACCCAATATGGTAGCAAAGGGATTTGAGGGGAGGCTTGCCAGAGAGGTGGGCCCCCACCTAGGAAAGTGCCCAGGAGGGCAAGGAGAGAGCATAGCTCAAGCCAGCCTTTAGTTCAGCTTGTCTGGTTGACATCTCCTCACCTGGGCCAGAGATATGGCCGGTTTCTCCCTCTCGGAGACGGGTGGTAACAGAGTAGAGGACTTATATTCTCATCCACATTTCGATGTATGAATGAATTGGATGAATAAGCAGTACTGCAGATGGGGATGGGGAGTGAGAAGATATTTTTCTAAGGCGTGAACCATATGGAAGGAGCTCCAAGCTACTGAGTTGTGACAGCGATCGGAGAGTCAGGAGCCAGCTGGCTACCCTGATCTGAGTGACATGTCTCTTCATCTTCTAGTCCATTGTGCCATCTCTAGGGAGAAAGACTTCATTGCTCTCCGTGCGTGGTGAGGACACTGAGCCAATGCAGGTGCTGAGTTACGTCGGCTCTCGTGGGCTATGCAGGATGCACACAGCCTTAGCTGACGTGAAAGCCTGTCAGCCAGATGAAAAGATGATGCGGTCTCCTCAAGAGCGAGAACAGTTCCCTCCTCCTTGTATCTGCGGCCACTCTCTGTCTCCCTCTCTGCACTCACTCGGTACAAATCCCAGGAGCAGACATGAAGGACGACAGAAAGAGGAAGAAATGGAGAAAAGAGGCTGTGGATATGCCTGTGGGCATGTGCCCACCTTGGGCTTACCCCCTGCAATCCTGACCTGCATACATGTTATATTGAGTCCTATCAACAGACATAAAAACGGAGGTTCAACAACTAATTGGCTACAGCGATTTTTCATGTGTTCTCAAAGCTCACAGAATGCATGTTCTGCTTACCACTTGCTTTACCATTATTTAAATAACTATTATAAAAGGATCCATTAAACGTGAAAAGGATTTTAAAAAATCCCAAAGTACTGTCCCACAAATACAGTGCGGCAGCTGAAACGCTGCTAGAGGCCACAACCCCAACATGAACTTTGAATTGTGTTTCTGTGATGTCAGCAACAACAACACAGATGTTATATCACTAGACCCTGATGGAACGGGGATGCGTTGCAAATGCCCGATGTGCTGCAGGTTCATTCTCCCCCATTGGGCCACTTCTGTTGCTTTCTTTCTTAGGTCCTCACCTTGAGCCACGCCATCACATCCAACCCAAAGAGAACAATTGTTCTGAAAATGAATTGTTCGGAGGACAGAGCACGGGAGAGGAAGATGGCAGAGGAGGTTCCGAGCTACACGTTGGCTGTTCTCCCGCCATCTTGGGGTCTTATGACTCATTTCAACAGAATGAGGTTCTACCAGCTGCCTAGCAGATTCTCAGCTTTAGCTATTATGACCTGATGGCTTGGCAATGCTTCTTGGGTCTCTGGCATTCCCTCAGCCCGCGCCCTCCATCCCATCCCAAATGTAAATCTTCCAGTCTACTGCAAGCACAGGCTTTCCCTGGACTCCAAAACACAGCCAACCCTTGTAAGAGGTGCCTGTACCAGGCAACATGCATCTTTCAACCAATTTGTAAGTATTATAGTCCTTTTACTTTTATAGGTGAGAGAATTGGAGATCAGGACTTTCTAAGAGTTCCTAAGCCAGCAAGAAGTAAGGCTGTGATTTGAACCCCAATCTGTTTGACCCCAAATCCCCACGATGTTGTCTCTATTCATGTTGCATTTGGAGCATAAATTAGATCCAGCGAGGTCATTAGAGGCACACGGAACCCGGAGTCCAAGTTGATGGGTTCAGTAGTTGGCTCTGCCTGTCCAGGTCTCAGGTTCTGTCTGCCAGGGATGAAGAAGATGCAGATCCCTTGGGTGGCTGTCACAACAGACAGTTGTGACAGTTCTTCCCTCGGAACTGAGACTTTTCCCCCCCAACTTTGAATACTCTGAAGACCTAAATCTCCTGAGCTCTGTTCCACTTTGATCTCCTTTCCAGCTACCCAGGTGACACGTCCTAAAACTGGTTTCCAGCTTCAGAGACTTGAGATCCCTTTTCATCATCCTGCTAGGGTCACACTTTCTCGGATTTTTAAGAAGACTCCCGATGGTCTCCTGGGGGAGCCAGAGAGTCATCTGCTGTTTACAGGGAAATAATGAGTCATTAAATATATTTACATACGAGGACTAGCAGGATTTCAGTAAAGATAGCCAGTGCAGGGGGGTGAAGCTGGTTCCCGGGGAGGATGGGGTGATTCATCACACACTTAAGAAAAGACCAGCCTCACTTCTCCCCCAGCTTCAGGGGAAATGAGCGCTCTGTTCTGCGGCTGCAAGAGGGAGGGGCCCCACAGCCACAGCTCTGGCCCAGATGAACCCAACCATACTCGCTGAGCCGAGGCTGGCTTGAACTATGCCCTGCTGTCTCCTTGCCCTTCTCCTGGGCACTTTCTTAGGTGGGTACCATTCTCTCTGGCATGCCTCCCCTCAAGTCCTCACCCTCATGCCACCCCTATGAATCCAGAGCCTTGGCTGTTGGCTTGACTTCTTTGATACATTCCTTCCACTTTCTGGAATAAATATGGGACTTGAATCCTAGTGGCCGGTACGCTGAATCTTAGTTTTCTCTCTCCTCTGGGAAGGAGTTTGCTCTCACGGTCTTCCCTCATCCAGTGCCCCTCTGTGCCCTTGGCCAGAGGGTGCAGTCTACTCTTTTTGATGGATCCCACATGCCTGAGCCATGGGAGGGCCTGAGCCTCCCCTGCGTCAGGGAGGAAGGCAAGAGTGGCTGGGATTCTCCAGTCTAAATGGCCTTTTACATTTCCCTCAGGTGTCGGTGCTCAGACCATCCACCAATGGCCGCCCGTCAGGGTGCTGATTGAGGGCAGCCAGCTCTCCATGGAGTGCACCGTGAAGGGGACATCCAACCCTTATCTGTATTGGTACCGGCAGGACAAGGGAGGCCCCCCCCAGCTGCTATTCTACTCTTTACGCATGGACCAGATATACTCTGAGGTACCGCGGAACTTCACAGCCTCCAGGCCCCAGGACGGCCAGTTCATCCTGAGTTCTCAGAAGCTCCTCCTCAGTGACTCTGGCTTTTACCTCTGCGCCTGGAGCCTCACGCTGAGCCGGGTGGGGTAGACATCCGTGCAAAAACCCCACCCTCTCCAGGAGCCCTCCCTCTGGGGTTGGGTGGAGGATATTTGGGTTTCTGATCATCAGCCAATGTGAGAACAACAGAATGAAGCCAGATTCTCCAAAAGAACACAGTACTAAGTTCTCAGGGAGAAGAAAAAAATATTCGTGTGCGGACCCTGGGAATTGTGTACACGCGGTCAAGTCCCCAGTGTATGGGTGCCTCGTGCTAGGCTGTTATCTTCCAGGCCTCAAAGTGGGACCCTGCCTCACACTGTTCTCTCAAAGTTCTGTCTGTCTACACTGGGGAGTGAGAGAGTTAGGAAGTGCCTATAGCAGGATGTGATGTGGTGGCAGACAGGTGGACAATTATGAGGATGCCGACTCAGGACACTTACCTGGCTAATTTCCATCACCTGAGAGTCTCCTTTTGTTGCTCTTTCTGGGGAGAGTAGACATCTCGGGGAAGCTTGGACGAGGCCTTGTGGCGGGGAAGGGGCAAGGTGATCGGCAGATTGTTCGCGTGTGGCCTAGACACACGCTTCTGTTAGTATCAGAAGCCACAATTAGGGATTTTGATTACTGCTTTGGATTTTAGGCTTTTTAATTCGTGTTCCACTGTGTCTCTTCCCTCCCCTTGTAGCAAACGAGGGAGCAGAGAAGCAGATGGTGACCAAAGAGATACAAGATACAGGAAAAGGATGCGGGCACGCGTGTATAATGGTAACACCCTAAAAAAGATAAATTATTTGGATGAGAATGAAGGAGAGGAAAAGGCTTATGGGGGTGGCTGGGAAGAGATGCTACGGTTCCCCTGGCAACCAAGCTTACTTCCTCATCCCTGAGTCCCTCAATCCTCCTTCGTCCTTCTTATTCTTAACAGGGTTTTCTTTTCTAATGTCCCTTGTACTCCACGAGGAGGCACAAGAATCTTAAAATACTTTGTTCCTGGCATCACTTCATCTAGGACAATTCAGACATTTGTTTATTTTCAGTATCATTCGATCTGCAGAGGGAAATCTGAGACGGAGACGCATAGTGATCAAGCCAGTATTTAATAATGCCCGAGGACTCCTGTGGCACCTTCCGTATCTACGTATGTATTAAGCGCCTATTGCGAGCTGGGCACTCTGGGCCATCGCAGGGATCAAAAAGAAAAATGGAGCGCACTCAAGATGGTGCTGGGCATGGTCACAGCATGGTTTAATCAAGGCGCTTGGTTTGTTTTTCTCCCCCCCATGTGTGAGAATATTAATTGACTAAAGTAATCACTAGTGCTATGACTGCCAAAGGAAAGATGCACTTACAGCTCAAGTTTGGTTCACATTTAAGAGTAAACAATGTTTCAAGCCAATGTTTGTTTGTTAGCTGATTATTGAATGTTGGCAGAACTGGATCTCTCCCTGAAACCGTGCTGATACCTTTCAGTTAATAGACTTTGGTATTTAGAACAGGCTTAGATTCACATAAAAATTGAACAGATAATAAGAGAAAGTTCTCACACTTGTTCCTCTGATCCCCTTGTTTCCTGTTAATAACATCAGACATTGGTGTGGTATATTACTTTTTTTAAAAAAATGTTTTATTTATTTTTGAGAGAAAGAGGGAGAAACAGAGTGTGAGTCAGGGAACGGCAGAGAGAGAGACATACACACACACAGAGAATCTGAAGCAGGATCCTGCTTGAACCCACCAACCATGAGAACATGACCTGAGCCAAAGTCAGACACTCACCTGACTGAGCCACCCAGGTGCCCCTGTTACTTGTTAGGTTGTACTGGTCTACAGTTTTAGACAAATATACCACGTGCTGTAGACCCCATCGCAGTGTCTTGTAAACGGTCTACTGTCCCACATCTCCTGTGCTTCACCTGTTGACTTCTCTCCGCTTTCCCTGATCTTTTCACGGTCTCTGTATTTCTAAGGCCTTTGGTTTTTGAGTCTAAATTTACTAGTTGTTTTAACCTTGGGCGAATCATATCATCTCTCTTTTTCCTCAACTGTCAAACTCATTGGATTCAGCATCTTAAATGAGATGATGTTATGCCATAAAGCCCTATTACAGGGTCTGATTTTCAATGGATATTATTTTCCTCTTTTAGCTTACAAGGTATTTGATTCCAGCTTACCCAAAAGAAAGATTTATTTTTAAAAAAATCAATTTTAAGCTACATACTAAATATTTAAAATTTTTTTAATTCTTACATTTATTTATTTTTGAGAGACAGAGAGAGAGGGAGCATGAACAGGGGAGGGGCAGAGAGAGAAGGAGACACAGAATCTGAAGCAGGCTCCATGCTATGAGCTGTCAGCACAGAGCCCAATGCAGGGCTCGAACTCACAAACCGTGAGATCATGACCTGAGCTGAAGCTGAACGCCTAACCGACTGAGCCACCCAGGTGCCCCATAAGCTATGTATTAAATATTTTAAAATGCTAAATACACTCAGATGGCAAACTTGTGAAATTTGTACCCTGTGCAGTACCCACTCAGATAGGGTTGCTTTGCGATGGGGTTTTTTGCGGCTTCAAAATCCTTCCTAACAGAGAGGGGTTCCAGGTAATCACCACTAGTCAAGTGGAGTTGGTAGGAGGATTAAGACAGATTTTTCATTCCTGTAAGATATTCGGAAGTTCTGGAAAACCTCATGAAGGAGATAGAATTGTAGTGAGGGTTAGCTTTGTAGGAGGCTAGCATTAAGATAAACAAAATGACATTCTCAGCCAGAGAGTCCATTTAAATAGAAATGTGGAGGTCCCAGTGGATGTCGTGAGTTCTGGAAAACCCATGAGTGAACAACTCTGGTCATGGCACCGAGCCACAGGGAGACGAGAGGACATTAATAGGTTAGGGGAGGCTAGTTGAGGAGAGGCTTGAACACCATCCAAATTCATCAAGACAGGTTAATATCCTTCATGTCACCCGGCCTATTCATGACAAAGAGTCATCATCCCTAACAGTTTCCCTATGTCTAAAGGCTCAGAAATCTACAATCGCCTTACTTTCAAGAGACAGAGGGAAGTGGCTCAGAAACACCATCTCCTGCTAGGAATTCACCAGTCTCACTCGAGTCGGTGCGTCCGGGGCAGCTGAGACTGCCTTCTCTCTGGGAGAGGCGCCAGGACCCTGGTCTTGGCTGACTCTGTAGGTCTTTCAGGAAACCATTCCGTGCTTGTCGTTACTAGGCCACCAGCACGTGGAAGATCTCAAGCCACACGCACTCCTGGAACTGATAGGGAGAAAGCAGGGGCCTCTCTGCAGCCGAGGAAGATGCGGAAGGCCCAGATGTGGGGAGCTGTTGACGCTGAAATTGGGCTGCTTCATATTTTTGCCCAGGATTAAATGCTTTGGGTTGAGCGTGCTCCAGCTCCGTGAGCTGCTGCAAAGCCCGCATGGCCTGTTGCATAGCTTGTTGTTTTCCGTTCCCTCCTTCAGGGTATTGTCTCTGGCTTTCTGTTCTCTCTGCGTTCCGTTCTCCCTCCTCCTCTTCCACAGATGGGGTAGAAAATATCTGTCACACAGACCTTAGCAGTAGGGGACGATGCTTAGAGAAACCCAGGGAGTCCAGCACACAGACACCTGCCCAGATATCCAGGGACCATCCATTTTCAGTCTGTTGATTATCTAGGGCTCTTTTTCCTGTGACTCATTAGCACCTCTCATTAGATGACTGGAAGGAAGCATGGGGGGCACCAGTGGTGACGGGGGAGTGCATTTAGGGGACAGGTAGGAGGGAGTTGCCTGAGGGATGTGGGGCCGGAGGGACCCCAGTTGGGTCAGAGCAGCTTTGCAAGCTGTTTTCATTCCTCACTATCTCCAAGGTGCGCCGTGCGGCCTCTGCTGGGAGGAGGGGATCGCCTCCAGCGGGTGTAGATGCAGGGTTCGGGGCATGGGTTTGCTCAGGTGCCTAGATTCCCCCTCTAGAGGGCTTTCCCTCTCCTCTCTATAGTTGTATTTCCACCGCCAGGGTGCCCACCAGGGGCCCGGGTAGAAAGAGCAGCAGGGAAGGGGTAGGGACAGGATGTGGATGTGGAGAGTGTGGTTCTCATGGTGCTGGGGGGTGGGTGGGGGGGTGGGGGAGGGCTGTCACAGGTCCCCAGATGCACGGCCTGGTAAATGTCAAGCCACATCCTGTTGTGAGTCCCTGAGATGCTCCGGGGGGCAGGTGGGTGTCTGTTGTTACTTGTGCTGATGTTGCTCAGAGATAAACCGCTCAGCAGCCAGCACTGGGCTCAGACACCCCCAAACCTCCCCCAGTAGTCTCCTAAAAGACCCCAACCTGCGGCTCTTTACTTCCTGCCTTTGATTCGAGGCCACTGTCCTTTAAACACTATTTTCTTCTCCTCCTTCAGGGCCTGGGCCTCTGCCCTGGAGGTGGGCCAGGGCACAGGTGTCAGGCTCCAGGTGCCTGTTGTTAACCACAGGGGGTGGGGGGTTCTGGGCCTGCCCATCCCCCTCACAACAGAGACAGCTTCCGAGGCTCTGTCGCTGTGTGAGTGATTTGCGCCTGGGAAGAACTTAGACCTCCCCCACCCCCACCCCGCCGCGTTATCTCCCTCGTGGTGATTCGGGGCCTGTGGACTTCAATCACTGAATCGAAAGAGCAGAGTTTGAGGATGGTTTAGACATCACTCTACCCAAGCTCATTACTTCACAGACGAGGAGAGAGAAGCCCCAGGAAGCATCACAAGCTGTCCAGGGCCTTGCGGCCGTGGAAGGAGGGGGACCAGAAGCCAATTCCCCGTGTCTGAGCAGCTCCTGGATCTCAGACAAAGCTGAGACGAACGTGGGCTCCATACTGAGCTGTGATCTTGTTCTGAATGTTATGAGCCACTTGTGTAAGGATGAAAAAAGGCACAACGGTCAGAACTGAGTGGCAGGAGGAAGGAGGGGTATATACGATGACCCACAGCATTAGACCAGATGGGTTGGAGAAATGAGCAGAAACTAGATGGGTTGGAGACATGAGCGGAAAAAATGTGATAAAACTAAGCAAGTCTTCCCTATTTCCCCTCATCCCCCCACCCCTCACCCCTGCCCCAGATAGAGAAGAGCAAAGGTCTGCACACAGGAAGACGGTATATGGCTCATTGCAAGACCTGTGAGAAAGACCCAGGGTCTGAGTCAAAAGTGAGCTCCGTGAGTGGGTACAGGATGTTGAACGTTGCTCTAACGAACCCAATGTAGACAGCATCGAAACTAAGGAGGCAGAGCTCTCTCTCTCCCCTATGTAGGTCAGAGCCCACCTGGCGCTGCCTTCCGTTCTGAACAACACACTTTTAGAAAACTGAAAGGGTAAAAACAAGCATAAGTGTTTTCAGAAGAGGGCGGCCGGGCTGTGGAGAGTCGGAAGTGCTCCTAACTGGGCCACGTGAGGAAAACATTGAGAGAACTGGATATGTTTGGCTGGAAAATAAACTTTAGGCTAATAATAATTTTTATAATAGCAGCTAATATTTATTGAGGCTGTGAGAACAGCATTGCACATTCTGTGCATTAATAAGATGAAGCCACCTTATGAAGTCAGGGTTGTGATTCCGCCCGTTTTATGGGAAGGGAAGCTGAGTCTCTAACGCAATCATATGGCTGATAAGAGCAGATCTGAGGCTTGAACCTAGGTGTGTTTGACTTAAAAGTCCATATTCTTTGTTATCATCATGTTGTCCTCTCTCTGCTATATGCTTTCCCTCCCCTGAACACTCAAGCTTTCAAGGGTTCTGCTTTTTCTATCTCATAGATTTGTGGACTCGGCGGGGGTGGGCTTGCTAGCTGTCACAGGAAGTATTCTCATGGGAGTATCATGATGGTCAATGAGAGGCACTACAATGATATGGGTATGTGAACAGGAGCAAACAAGACAGAATTCTTCATAAGAGCCATCCAGTGATGAAATGGCCTACTCAGATGGGAAGTTCTCTGCTCCCAGGACAGGTCAAGCATAACTGGGTTGCAAGACTCTGCAATGCACGCTTCCTTACCACCCAGAGTGTGTATGATTCCCAGACAAGGTCAAGATGAAGTCTTACTGTGGGAGTGAGGGTTCAGGGGACCGAGCTGGAATTGCTGGAGTAGCCCATGACTTGGGCAGGAGTGGTCATGACCAGGACCACCCTCAAGTCACTATTTTAAACACCAGTCCCTTCTGTCAATGGGTTTGATCAGGAGGCAATAGGACCCTGGGTCCACAGGAAGCCCTGGAGTCTGTCTCCTGTGAAGACCACACCCCACTCTCCCGGAGGACAGCTGAGACAAGGCAGAGCTGGCTGATGACAC